GTTTTTAACATATCAGGTATGATGCAGTTTTTTTTTTCTAATACATTATGAAGAGAAATGAACAGTGAAGATTATTCTTTCAAGATCATCTTACTGAATTTTGACTGTCCTCACAGCTGGTCATACCTTCCCTCGTGACTACCTTCATTATACCTAGCTACTAAAGTCAATATTATCCAAGCCAAGCAAGGATAACAACATTTAACATTGAAAAACGATATCCGAGGGAAACTATACCAAGGTTGTATGGAGACCCATTTTTTTTTTTTTGGGCAGAATCCGTCTACAAGTATATCATTACCCTAGCTTTAAATTACAACAGTCAGAGTTTAAGCTGGACAAAAACAATATTTAGCAATTTGGCTAACTCAGTATGAAAATAATTAGCCAAATAGAAAGTTGATTAGCCAAAAACAAAAGAATATAAGGAATTAAAGCTTTAATTCCATTAGCTTTTTGGCTAATTTTGAATGAAAATATTTAGCCAAATTCAGCTTTTATTAGGATTTGGCTATTTGGCTAAAGACTACTTTTTTGTTGTGTTTTTTTTTTAAGGGGAAGGGAGGTACCTTTCTTCCCTCCTCTTAGTAATCAAGGATTATGTTCAATAGTAAAGCTACAATAAGAAACTAGTAGTATGTTATATGAAGGATAACCAAAACAAACATGGATGAACTAAATTAGACGGACTATGCCACAAAATGCCCAGGCATTTTACACCGCCTGGTGCTCGTGGCCTTCGGTAGTCGACACCTACGCAGATGCAAAATAAACTTCAAACGCAGGTTTACACAGTATCAACATGAACCTTTAATTTCCAACATGACATTGGTACAGTATTCTTAGCAATCAAAGATTATTTCCAATCCTCCTATAACCCAACACAAGAGTTAAAAACCTTTGAATCACTGACTGGAAATCCCTTGGTTTTCTCTCCTTGTCATAAATGCATCAATACTTATGCACACAAAATACGGTTCATGGCTTCTAGGCCAACTTGATGATAAGGAGGATAAAATTCCTCTTTTTCTACACAAAGATGTCACCACACACAATATCATCGTAAATATAGGCGGATGCAAGACCAAGACACAATACAGACTCCTTTCTGTATTGCTTGCGATTTTCTCTTCTATTTTCTCTTTCTAAATTTTAAGTGAATACACCCAGAAAAAAAATAAAGTATACGAGAAACATGTTTTTAATTAAATTTGGCCGTAAGTTTTACAGCTTAAAACTTGAGTTTAATATATTAACACTCGTTTTGTCAGTAGTCATTAAATCTCGGCCCTTCATCCTCCCCCTCCCACCAAAAAAAAAAAAACCTATGATTTAACTTTTGATATATAGTTATGTATTTTCTTAGTCCATTTTTAGTCTATAACCTAATTTAAAATGAAAACAATCAACATCCGAGTTGGGTACGGTAGCCGTACAATATCTCAAAGAATACTGTTTGATAGATTTTTAAATATTCTCAATGATATCCACATTGGCTATGACATAAAATCCACTGACATAGAATGGTAGCATAATGCTTTAGTTCAACTTACTTTATGCATTGAAATTGTTGATTGCCTGCCTCAATTGCATAGAGCATCATTTCTACCACAGTCCTTTAGACTGAAGGTCGTTATTAAAGGTTACTATGGTAACTAATCTAAGCTTGCTAACCAATATCAGCATGACATCACAACCCCAAGAATAATTTTCTAAAGAAAACAGTAGTTTAAAGGTCATAGAAGAAGAAGCACAACATAATATATAGTAATACTATTAGAGCTAGCTAAATTTCTCTTTCAGCAAAGAATAATGTGCAATTTAAGCAATAAATTTGCTGTTTTAACGTATTACCAGGGAGTTGTTATATCAACTATAACAACTCCCTGGTATTATATGATAGGATAAATACAGAAAATACTAAATATTGTACTGTACATAAATACAATATTTGACCCTATTTTAAGTATTCTCGAGGCACAGTCCTAGATATTAAAACGATACAATTTGTAGGGTCCCCTCAAATCCAACATGTAAGTTAACCCACTGACCTCCATAGGTATGTCAATCAGCTTTTGGCAAGGTTCTGGCAAATCAAATTACTGTTTACACTTGAAAATTGCACAATTCAAATTACATCAACAACCAATTACTGAACACCTGTACTTTACAAACTGGTATACAGCAGAATTAAGCAATGGGTCATTTTACCTGGTTAATATTTAAGACAGAATAAAAAAAATACTAGTTTCTCCTCGAGCATCCATTTTCTCTGCCTCACCAATTTTTTATTTTTTAAATTTGCTTTATTTTAAAAAATCTGGCTACAGTAACTCACATCAGTAAAATTTCTCTCTCGATCGTTCATGGTTGGGGATACATAGGCGGTACAGAATTAATCATGTCTAGTCGTTTTATTTTCTTTTAATGTATCTACTTGGCGAAAGTGAGAAAGTAGTACAGTATCTGTTTTCCATCGACTATCTTGGATTTGCCATCTCGGATTGAAAAAAATAGGAAAAAAAAGTGCCTCTCATTCTCCTTTTTTCAAAATATTAGAATGAGAAACTAGTGTTTTTGTTTCATTACTGGTAAATATGGTTCTTGATTCAAGATCCAACAACAAATGGTATATTGCAGTACTGGTAGTGGTATACAAAATAAAATACTGAATCAGTCATTGTTTATTAATGAGTATGTTTTCTATTAATGGCAGAGGTCTAAAGAGTACCCACATGCACTGGTAAAGTCTAGGATAAAGCTCTAAGTAAGGATCTGGATTTGGGGACTAGGTCCCTACAGTTGAAGCATTCTACAATAGCATGCAATGATGACTTTCATCATAAATTTGGTGGTTTTCATGCAAGGAAAGTGGCTCAATTAACTTTGTGTATACAGTACAGGCATTGCCTGCTTGTTCAGTCACCCCAACCCTTCTCTAATTTATTGTACTACAAAACATGTTTGTGTTGTTAAGACGAATATTTTGTAAACTTTTGAACATACAACTTTTAAAAAGGCCCTTTACATTTCGCATGTTCCCTATTAATCTTCTGCGGTGACATTTCTAACAGACAGGGAAAACAATATAGGGAACACCCAACTCAGCCCACAGGTTGGGGCTGAGGTAAAAAAAAAAGTTGGGTTAATATTATTTCTGATACCTGAACATGACACTCTTACCCCGGTATTCTTAAAACAAACTTTAGTCGTAGTTCGAGCTAAAACTTAAAAATTACGTCATTTCGTATTCTTAAAACGAACTTTGACTAGCACTGCAACTAAATGACGCGAACCTCCACTAAAATGACACCTCCGCAGGCCGATTTTTTTAGTCAGCCTAGGGTCAGGCTAAATCGCCGACTTGAAATATTTACCCCACTAAAAACATGTTTTTTGTAACTCACTATAAAGTGAAACGAAGAAAAACGATTGTATACGCAGGTTTGATATATCTTCGGTGTGTTAAACAAAAGAGACATTAAGTTCATCTTCTAAAAGGAGAAATCAACATGTTTATTCCAGCCACATGCGATAGTTCCTGATTTGCACGAAATCCCTCGCGCTGCGGTCACGTAGCTTCGCCATAACAACAACAAAGATGGCGCCGCCCTCGCTCGGGCTCAACTATAACAGTTCTCCAAAGAAAGCAAATTTTCAGTGACTGTTCAAATTCTCTATCGTAATATGTTAACAACTAATATAGTTATTAGTATAGAAAATTAATTAAGCGAATGATGATCTATTATGAATTATGAGGAAATACGTTTTTGAACCACAGACGGCAGCTTAATATTCATCCGCATTACCGGATCTCTAAAATTTCGTCTGCTATTAAAATTAGCTCTTTTCATTGGTTAGTTTGATAGTTGTTGCTTGCCAGTCGTCTTCAGTTTAACTAAAACTAGGACTTGATTTAGTCGTAGTTAAAACTTCGACTACGTTGTTTGTGAATACAAATTGAGGTTGAAGTTGAAACTAGCACTAAATTAAGTTCTAGTTCGAAGTTCGACTAAAGTTTGTTTTAAGAATACGGGCGTTAGGTCAGAGTCAGGTGTACGCAGACAGTTGGGCATGGGCCCAACTGTCATGCGCCTGCATGATACATGGACTATCTGCCTATGACAATATCCATCAGAAATCATGAATTTAAGATTCACTATACAAGGGTCCAGGTTGGGTAGGCCTATGTGTCCACACTCTTGATTAACTGCAATCCTTTCAAGATATAATTTTGGTCCACTGAATTTATATGAAAGCATGTAGTACTTAGCAAAAAAGGCACTTATTTAAGTTCGCTTAGGCTGGGCTAGTTGAGAGTGAGACACTTAAATTTGATCATTTATACTGCTAAATCAGAATGCTCAACATGTTCTAGGGCTAGGCCCCTAGCCAAGAAATTTTTCATAGTAAACTTTAATAACATGCTATCAAATTTAACTAGGCGTAGGCAGATAGCCTAGTCTGGGCCTCGCTAGGCCCTAGGCATATCACTCTTCATAAATCATCAACTTTTTACTGCTTGTCAATCAAATTTCTTCATCAATAAATTCAACATACTTCATCATTGGACAATCTGTAGCCTAGGCCTAGCTAAGATTAGAATAATTTCCTGTGCCACTCACTCAGACTTGTTTGTGAAGTTTGTTTGAACTGTGATTTTGGATGATCAATAATATATCTCTTTTCTTATATCACGGTACTTTAATTTGCTTAGTTCAGCATGGCAAACTGGAAAAAACCCTATCTCTTTATTTAGCTACCTAGGCTGGATGAGCAAAGGGTGCTACATCAACAACACACTGCATTATTATCACTTGGCCTGGCCTTGAAGCACCTTGCGCTTGATTGTCACCATCATCATCACAGTTCTCCCTAGCACAATCATCATCCGAAATCCATCCCATCGGTTTCATATGAAATATTTTTATAACAACAAACGGTATCATCTCCCTGCAATGTCATAATTAAAAACATGTCTCTGACTAAAACAAACTCACCTCTTATTTAATTCTCAGTATAATTGTAAAAAAAGTCCTTCTTTTGCTTCTAAATTAACCTATAAAATTCGAATTTAGAATTATATCCACTCGACTACATACAGTACATGCAAGGCGCGGCGGCTCGCTTTTCAAGGCACCGGTGTGTAAATAGCAACTTCAAGTTGAATGATTACCGTTTACGGCTGGTTGATCTTAGGTTTTACCTCCCTCTGTTGAGTAATATTTTGTTTTAAACCGTAAAACACAACTTAAAATAATTTAGAAGACGACCCCTCTGTTCAGCTAATTATTATAGTTTTTATTTCATCCACACTAAAATTTTTAAATAATCTATAATTAAACGTAATATTTCGATATGATATTTCACTACTCGTGGAGGAAAGATGAATGATTAGCAGGCATTTTATCAATCACTGTTACTTTGGTTAACATTGAGGGCGCTTGTCTGGAATTTGGTAATGTCAAGGTGTGCGTGTGGCGGGTGGGTGTGGTGGGTACAGTCAGTACGTGAGGGCGACGTTCACTTTACGGTATATTACGGTACTGTTGCAGATCACACCCTCACTAATTAGTGGATAATCAGAGCTCGGTGTTTGATTTCAAACAACGCTATCAATTATACATTACTCCGTTCACTATTCCTTATTTTAGCTGTTTTGCACAAAAAATAGACAAACTTGTGACGACACTGAATATTATGAATTAATACAATGTTTAGACTACAGTGTGGTTATTTAATCACGAGACTAAAATTGCACTCAGTATCTGAACCCAATTGAATGTATTACATTTTGTTTCATCTTAACATTAATTAAGCCTAATATAGGCCTAGTTTAAATAGTTTCATCCAAATAGTAGAGCGGAGTTGAATTGCTTGTTGGTGGTTAAAATGCTTGCTTCCAATCTCAATTCATGGGTTCAATTCATGTTACGGTAACAGAATTTTTTCTCACGACCAATAACTACTCTGAGTTCACTCTTATAATGAGATTTACGTAGAGTATCTTTTTTATGCGTCTTAATTGTGAAAAGGTTGCCACTTAAGTTTACTATTGGCATATACCCCGTACTGTAAACAGTAGCGATAAGTCATATTATCAATATAATAGTGAGGTCTGCGAATTCTATTAAAAAAGACGGACATGATACATCGCTATATGTAAATGTAGGCCTATGATGGAGCACAAGTGATGCTTCTAAATAGCCTACTCAGGCCGCGATTTGACTTTTGGATCAATTCCACACTGCGACACCGCAGCAACCATTACATAACAGGAAACATTAATGACATTTACATTAGGCCTATACAAATTATAATGTCGAAAACGACATCGACATTTAGGACGGGAAGCCTTTAAGTATATGCAATAAGCAGTGGCTTTATCCATCTATAAAGTTTCAAGACGTTATAGTTTGTTGGCCTAGACGTAACACATTATACGATTTATTGGGCCCTGGTGTTTTAAATAAATATTTCCTTTTTTTGGGTGATATATTATAAGCTTTCAATTAAACATAAGATGTCAACAAACCCAGCAACGAATTCATAACCTAAAAATATATTTCTATATTATTTGATGAAACAATTGATTTGACTGACGATGTTCATGAAAAGTCTTAAAATTAGAATATATTTTTTATCTTTTTATAAGTTGGTTGTTCCTTATAAATGATAAACGGAAAGGTTTAAATTTGGATTTTGAGAATCATTTTGTCAATAACGACACTGGAATGGAACCATAAATTGGTATATTTGGCAATCATGATTTCGATGGACTGTGGTTAAATGGACTAACTGGGGTCAGAAGGGTAGAGCTGGATGAATCGCACCTTTCATTTTATGGCAACGTTAACGCCTAAAGATAGATTGTTGGATAAAATGTAAAGATTCAAAATTTTTGAAATTTTATTACAGAAAATCACAAATTTACATTCTCGACTGTCTTAAAAATAATGTTGACCATTTCTGTTCGCACTCCTTCCTTATTCTTCGATACGGACTACCCAGAAATATCATAATTGTGTTCGTTTTGCGGCGCAATCTAGTTCCCTGCCTGGCAGGTTGGTGTGCACGACGAACGGTACCGATGTGTAGAAATACATGCCAACAATTACAGTTTATTAAAATTTAACTTATCAATTAAAAATTCAGTTTAGTTTCTTTGTTTGCTCTCATTAATTTTGATAGACGCATAGGTGTTAACATGATATAAAGTTTGATTTGCAGATTATTCACTTTTTGAAATTTCAAATTTAATAGATAAAACTTCAGGGATTGGATCGAGATTTGGATCTCAGTGAAGAACATCCGCAGGAATTTACCATATATTATTGCAGAAACTTGAGGACCAGAGAAGTTGACACAGATGACGATGATGACATAGAGGGAAAATCGGACTCCGACGATGATGTTCTTTTTTTTAGAACGTTTCGTAATCTACCGCTCATTCATACTGGGCATGCGAACGATGATGCCATTGAGGATGAAGATGTACTTAATCAAGATAAAGGCAGAGTTTTGAGCAAATTTTTTCAATCATGTCATAATCTACCGTCCACTGATACTGAGCATGCGAACGATGATGACAGTGAGGATGAAGATGTACTTAATCAAAAAGGCAGAGTGTTGAGAAAAAGTTTTAGATCATTTCATAGTCTGCAGTTCACTGATACTGAGCATGCGACCGATGATGACAATGAGGATGAAGATGTAGGATTACTTCATCAAGATGAAAGCAGAATTTTGAGACAATTTCATAATCTACACTCCATTGATATTGAACGTGCGCATGATTACCATGATCGTCACATTTATCATCATTATCTTCATAATCGTCAATATCATAATGATTATCAATCTGCATTGGTTATTATGCATGTAAATAAATTCATAATTATGATTATGATTACTCTATTTATCATGATGATCATTGAGGTGGTTATGTTTATTATAAGTAACCTGGGCGTGATAGTGATTACATTTATGATACTCCGCAATGTTCACGAAAATGTCAATCAAAATCAGTGGCGTAACCGGGGAGGTTTTTAAGATGTCACTGAGCACCCCTCCCCCTGTTCTATTCAAACGTGAAAAAATGTGGTACCCAAGAAATGTCAGAGATGCACCCCAGCCAACAGATAGATAGGGCTACTGAGTTATGTCGACATAATTGTTCGTTTTATTTATTTTTTTTTTTATTGCAATGCATTCTAGAATTGAAGGTTTTCACTCCATAAGCAATCATGTTATTGAATGACCTACAATTTAATGTATTTATTTTTAAAATGTTGCAGAGGTGGATGGGGCCACCCAGCCCTGAAATTTGACACCTAGCTAATTTATTAACTCCTTGCCCATCCCCAAAAAATTCACTCTTATTATTTAAAGTTCATCAGTGTTATCACCCACCCACCCTTAAAATGTATACCACCCATCCCTATTTTCTACAGCTATGACCCTGCTGTTTTAACATTTCATTTATTTATATTTATAATTTATTAAAACATATTGTTACAAACCAGAGGCCTCCAACCAGCATAATCTCTGACATTGGGATCAGCTCCCTGTGTTAGTAATGTCTCCACTTCTTGAATGTCTCCCTGAGGATTAGAAGAGTACCAGGCAATTCAATATTACGGTAGCTTCACAATTACCAAAAATTTATCGTAGCAACATCAGATAAAAACAATTAGCGACAAATATTGCTACCACAAAATGTATCATTTAGTAGCTATAACAATTGATATGAGTGTTAAGGATTTAAATGTTTGAAACTGCAGTTAGACATAAAATACCAACACAAAAATAGTAGAATTAAAATAATGTACAACCCCTAGATTATTATGAGGTTGAAAAAAGGTATCTGCAAATTACCAACAATACAGAGAAAAAAATCTACCTTTATGACAGCAATATGTAATGGTGTTTCGCCTTTCTTGTTTCTCTTCATTAGTTGATCTACTGGGGCTACCCTTGGACCTGTCTCTTATACACATCTAGATGTGTATAAGAGACAGAGAGTATACTGACAGTTTTTCAAATCACGGTGAAGTACCGGTAGTTAAAAATCACCTAAAATCACCATATTTTGCGAATCAGCGCCCCTCAACTGATCATCGAGCCCCTCCCCCCACTTTTCCTTCGCACCCCCTCATCAGCACCCCCACTCCCCACTAATTCATTACAGGACTACATTCGTTGAGAGCTATGCTACACGATGTATTATTATGTCCTTATTCTAACACTGTATTTACCTTTCTTTGATGATTATTATATAATTTAACAGTGTTAACGGCTATCTTGATTTATATTATATGCAACTATTTGTTTCTAGCCGTAATTATTGTGTAATGGAGTGTATCTGGTGGTATTTCAATCTGCTCAACCATGTGGTCTAGTGGTTATGACGCTTGTCTTGACAGCGAGAGGTCGCAGGTTCGAGTCCCGCCAGAGGAATTTTATTACACAATTTCTTTATTCATTTATTACAGGACTACATTCGTTGAGAGCTATGCTACACGATGTATTATTATGTCCTTAGTCTAACACTATATATATATATATATATATATATATATATAAATAATATATTATATATGTATATAATAGGCCTAGCCTATTATTATTCTTGGTTTTGCAGATTTTTAATTTCAATTTTATTTTCAGATGCAATTGAAAAACCTTGATGGATTGGACCGACGTTATAACTTCGATACATATCATCTTCATAAATTTAGATATCGCAAAATGAGGAACAGTGAAGGTGACACAGATAACGATGACATTGAGGATGAATCCGAAGAAGAATACCCGAATGATGAGGTCATTAAAGAGGATGAGGGCGACCTTTATAGGCAATTTCATTATCTGTGCTCCACTGATAATGGACATGTGAATGATGATTACTACGATGATTATGATGATCATGACGATGATTATGATTATTTTGATAATCGTAAAAATGATTATTGTTATAATAGATATGGAGGTGGTATGAAAAAATCAAGATGGTTCAATGTTAATAGTAAGGTAGTTACGGGCAACACATTTCAGAAATGTGGCCGCAACGTTTTTCCTAGCAAACAGGTAGGCGGATGTAACACAACTAAAGGGCTAAGTAGAATAAAAATTGACATACTAATTATCTTTGCT